GTCAGCTCGACTTATAATGCACACCGGAGGTGACAACATGTGCACAGAGTTCACCGAAGTGTGACCTCTACCTCTTGAACTTCACAGTTACGCAATCGCATCTTGACTGGGGTCAACTAAATGACCTACAGTAACTCGATGCACACCTACCCGGCAACAAGAATAACTCTCGAAGTCATCTCATGTTGCGTTCCGGTGAGAACGGGTTTCCTAAGTGTGCGCCCACAATAGGACTCCGTGTTGTGAGACTAGCTAAGCCAGAATCTACGATCGTTTCAAAACAATTCACCCGCTTTGATGTAAATTTACGCAGTGCAATACAAGACGAACGGAATCGTGATGACTAAGCCAAGTCATGGCTCCTTTAATAAGTTTTTATATCTACATAGCCCACTGAAGGATTAGTATGAACCCATTGTCGTTTGCGAGTGCTGAATAGGTTTCAACAAGTAGTTTTCAAACAGTGAGTAGCTCAGTAGTTTTGTATGGCCGCGAATCTTACGAATCAAGTCCAAAGCTGGATTTTGGACAGACTTTTAAGCAAAGATGGCCGCTCACCTGCAATCGCACTCGCACCCTGATCCACACATTTCGCATGGTGTAACCTAGTACTGACCGTGTTCTAAGGCCTTGGTCACATGCACTGAACAACTCATTGGTTGTGAAGCAAGTGGGTTGAATTTTGAGGCGATATCGCGTCATCAATGCGAGTGGAATAGAAGAATTCCAGAGTGGTGTCAGTAAAACTTCAAGCAGATAACTGCATGCACAGCGCTAGAAACAGGGGTTAGTGCTGTATGGTCTTCTGGCCCGGAGGTGAACAATCTCACTGAACTTACTTACTTAACTTAACAATCTTACTTAACTTACAATCTTAATTAACGCAAATGACACAGTTTTACCAGGTCCACATTGCCCCCTTTGATCTTTTGAAAAATATTACGTTAACTGTCCCCCAAAATGGAATGTTTCAGGTTACATTCAGTAGATTTCAATATCCCCCTTCAAAAGTATCTGAATACCAGAAAATACGGTCTATGTTACCGTTACATTGTTGTTACCCCATCATCAACTTTGTTGATTGGAATTCGCCAAACCTGTTTTGTTCACATCTGAATCATCTGTGTACTGTTCGGTCGGCATAACGGTAGTACATAGAAATTGCGGGTGTTTTCGCTACTACCTACTTATTCTGTAAATAATTCAATAACCAAGCAAGTAAACAAATTCTACGAACCGTAGTCACTACTGAGCAGTTTGGATCTCACGCGCTCACCGAGTGCAACACCTTTCATTGATTTCGGTATTCTTTATTTTTTGGGGTTTTCTCGATCTGATGATATTTCGAAAAAAACCGTGCTTTTTCTATAGATATTTCTTGAGACCGCTGCCTCGCTCCGACGTCTTTCCGTTTAAACTCCCTGAGGAAGTTCTTGGAATTTAATGTCTTCTTCATTATCTGGCGACGGGGGTTCAGTCCCGAGTATTTCTTTCCAGAGCTTCGCCTCGTCGAATACCGCATTAAGCAATTGAAGAAAGGGGTGATTACCTTACTGTGGCTACCGTCCAGAAACCTGTTAGACTTTCTCCTATAAGCTGGCGATTTGAACACCCTGGCGTTTGAACATTTGGATGTAAATGGTGTTAGTTTGCTACTAAACACCGGGTGCACAATTTTATGTCCGAAACTGCTGATTGAATGATGACTCTTAAGAATCTTCCATACATACTCGACGATTCCCAATTGCGTAGAGAAAACCCGTTTGACTGGTAGTTTCGGGATCCAACAACACCCCCGAGATAATCCGTTAAATTCGTATCATGTTCTAATCCCGGTCCAACATCTTTTCAAAGAAAAACTTTCAAATTAGGACTTAAAGAATAGCTGACCGAATAACCCAAATTAGATTACAGCCAAAAGTTTGAATTTATCAGTTTTGAGAAAAGTGAATCTATCGAGTACCAGATAGTTATCGTGATGGTCTATTTCAGTCTGTTGTATTTTGTTCGTACATAACGATGCGTAACCATACAACATAAATAGACTTGTCTTGAAATTTCCGG